CAAAGCCCTGATTAGAACTAATGTCCCTCTTTTAATAAACTGTAAGTTTCATTGATTCAACAGAAAATTATTGAGAAGAGTTATGGACCAGGCACTCATATAAATTAAGTTCTATGGCTTTGTTTTTTTCTTTCCCTTCTTTGTTGACTTCAGTTTTTTGACTGTGTATAAAAGGAGGTGGCATGTACAGCCCACAGGCCATCTGTTTTTGTAAATAAAGTTTTATTGCAATACAGCCATCTTATTCACCTGTGACTGCTTTTGCCCTGCATTGCAGAGTTGAGAAGTTGCAACAAGACTGTGTAGCCTACAAGCCTAAAATATTTACTGTCTGCCCCTTGAAAAAAAAAGTTTACAGATACGTAATGTACAACATAAACAGTCTTCCCAAAGTCAAAACTATACAAAAATGTATGATTTGAAAAAAAGCCATACTCTTTGACATTTCTTCTACCCCTTCTCCACCCCATCCCTTGTTTTTTGGTTTATCTTTCCTGTGTTTCTTGTAAAAATAAGCAGGTGTATGTATATTTTCTTATTTTGCCTTTTTTCTTACAGAAAAGGTGACATAGTATGTGTTCTCTTTTACACTTTGCTTTTTTCACTTCACACTGTTTTCTAGAAATCACTTCATATTAGTTCATAGAGAAATTTTTCATTTTCACAGCTGCATAGTACTATATTGTGTGTACGTACTATAGTCTGTTCAACCAATCTTCTATGATTGGACATCTAGGTAGTTTTCAATATTTTGCAATTTCAAATAATGGCACAATGAATGTGTGTGTGTGTGTATGTATTTATGCACGCACGTGCATGTATGTTTGATGTTACCAAGTTCCCATCCATAAGGCTTGTACCATTTTTCATTCCCGCCAGCGATATGGGAAGGTACCACTTTCTCCATGAGGGCTGCTAACTTAATTTTACCAAGTGATGACATTAAAATACTCTTCCCATCTATCATCACAATCTTTTCAAAAAATTTCTCCCATTTTAATAAGGGAGAAAAGACATAATCAGAAAAAAGGTAAGAGCCCTTTAAATAATATAAATAAAGTTCTCGTGATTATTTTTCTCTTTTTGCTGAAGACAAAGACATCTCTACCATGTATCAGAAATCTTTATTTGATCATGTCTCTCCTGCCTTAAAATCTTTCAGGATGGGGCAATCCCTTCGGGCCCCCTCCCGCCATGGGAGCTTTTCTGTTCTCAATAAATCCTGCTTTCTCAAAAAAAAAAAAAAAATCTTTCAGGACTGCACATATTTTCAGCTCTTAATATGGTCTTAACATGGCCTATAATTACATGTAAGATCTCAGCCCTGTATGTCCAGCCACTTTGACTTTGTTTTCTTCCTTTCATTATAGCAAGTTCTCTTCCACAGGGCCTTTGCATGCACCATTAAAGAACTAGACAAGTTAAAAAAGAAAAACTGGGTTCAGGCAGCTGTGGTAGTGTACACCTGTAGTCTCAGCTACTTGGGAGGCTGAGGCAGGAGGATTTCTTGAACTGGGCGAGGCAGTGAAACCTCATTACTTTATTTAAAAAGCAACAGCAACAAACTGGGTGCTCACCTTGACTCTTCCTTAACTTGTTATTTGACTTTGTGCAAGTTATTTAGCGCTGTAGTTTCTCAGTTTTCTCAATTTACATTGTAGTAATATAAGACCCCCAGGCCCTTTCTGTTCTAAATTGTCTATTTTCCAAAAGCCATTATGACAGGAAGAAAATGGAACTTAGCACATTGGCCCCATGGCTATTAACTGTAACTCAGTTGTAAGTATATGACAAACAATTGTTTCTCACAATATTTACTTAAACATTAATTATTTTCAAAAATCAGTTGACTGAATTTATATGAGTAAAAGCAAGTTTTGAGTTTGAAAACTGATTATAAAGTTTTGAGTTAAACTATACCACTTTTGAGGTCCTGTCTCTTGGATTCTGTTTTTAATACTGTTTTTCAGATGAAAGAAATAATTTTGTACTTTTAAAAGAGGAATTAGAGTAAAACTTTAGGGGGTGGGATACTTGGTAGAGAAAGAAGTTTGCCTAGAGTTAATTTCCTTATCTTTCTTATCTGGTCTGTTACCATGTTTAATTTATATTCTTCGCGCTTTTATAAGACTGTCAGATATCAGGTAAAAATGATGAAGAAAAAGTAAAATAGGAATTTGAGAATTAAAGATTTTAGGAGTATGTACTGGAGAATGTTGCTAAGTAAGTAATACTGTTGATCGCTAAGTATTCCCATTGATTTATATCCTGTGTCCTTAAGTTTGTACAAATAATTTGTAATTTCTTTTTTTTTTTTTTTTTTGAGTTGGAGTCTCACTCTGTCGCCCAGACTGGAGTGCAGCAGCCGCCCCCGGCCACTGCAGCCTCGACCCGCTGGGCTCCGGCGATCCTTCCGCCTCAGCCTTCCAAGTAGCTGGAACTACAGGCGTGTGCTACCGCGCCCGGCTAATTTTTGATTTATTGTAGAGATGAGGTCTCGCCAAGTTGCCCAGGCAGGTCTCGAACCCGTGGGCTCAGGCAATCCACTCACCTCAGCCTCCCAAAGCATGGGATTACAGGCTGAGCCACAGAGCCCAGCTTGTAATTTATTTCTTAAAGTCGTGGTATAAATGGGTAATTCAGTTTCTAGGCAAGCCCAAAAGAACTTTTTAAAACAGTTTACCGTAGAATTACTTTAAGATTTCATCAATGCCTAAACACTTTGTAAAATTGTTTCTACGCAAAAATTCATTTACACGTTAGAACATCTGTTCTCATTTGTGACATCTGGAGTTGGATTGGCATGCAGGCACTAAAAAAATTTGGGTCTTGGGAGGTAGTAAAAGATTCTTCTAAGCTGTAGTAACTTAACATATTGGCAAAAGACAAAGTATCTGGCTCATCAGGAGCCCAAAATTGCAGAACCAGAAAGCAATTACTTCACTCTTAATAGCTATGTACCATTCATAAATCAACTATTTCTCACATAGAAATATAAAACTTGTTCCATTTTCTATTTTCTATTTCTTAACTGAGTGACCAGTTTCTTTAAATACCAGTATCTATAATTAGGATTTATATTTCAAATTTACTTTCAGTATTTTGAATGTAGAGTGTTACGGTTTGCTGATACTTAAGTAGCAAATTCAGTTTTTTATAATTTTCTGTGGATATATTATATGTAACACATACATTTTCATACCTTTTTGGGTAAACTAGTTAGTTGATATTGTCTAAGAAAAGACAGTTTCTGAGTTCAGAACCAATCATTAGGATGCTAGAAAGCTGCTTTCCACACCTGAAAATTTTTCTCATCTTATTCTGATCTTTGGAAGAAGTTAATGTGGGAAGAAAGATTAAATCATCTACTTTTGTATGAAGATGTTAAAAATGGTGGGCAGTTTTAGTTTTTTTGTTTGTTTTTGAGGGACTAGGAGGGCTTGGAGCTGTCATTTTGAGGTTATAAAAAGTAAAAGTATCAGTTCTAATATATATACACATATATATGTATATATTTCTCTTGGGATGGAAAAGATCATGTTTAATTTTTTTACTAGTTTTATTTTAAAGGATTTATTTTGCTTCTGGCCTATCTAACAGAAACCATGGGTCTCTAAAGAAAACACCCCAGTATTATTTTATTAAAAATGGGTTCACCTATCTATCAAATTATCATTTGTCTGAAATCATCACAGCCTAAACCAAGAGAGCAGCAAAAATCAAATTTAAATTTTAAAGAATATTTGTCCAAGTTGCATTCAGGACTTGAAAGATAAGCTGATAAAAATCAGATAGATTGAATGCTAAATTTAATTCCATATCCTTTTTGTCAAATAGAAATAATTCTTTTTTAGTTAACTCTGGAAAACTGTTTGAATTTTTTTTTTTTTTAAGATTTTTTGGAAAATGAAAGTTTTAGTGTACTTGGTACTTTTTTCTAAATTTTACCTGAAAATGTAGTTGTTATTTGGCTTTGTGTGTTTGCTGCTTTTTAATATAAGGAGCTGTGTCCTTACTTAATTAGACATTTTGCCTACTTGAAATAACATTTTCAACTATTCAATATTTAGTTTAAAATGGTCAGAAGAGGAAAAGGAAATTTTAAAAATATACATTATATACCACAGAACAACATTTCAGTCAATGACTACATATCTGATGGTAGTCCCATAAGATTACAATACCATATTTTTACTTTTTTTTTCCTATATTTAAATGCATAAATACTTAACCATTGTTTTACAGTTTCGTACCGTAATATATTGTACAGGTTTGTAGCCTAGGAGCAATAGACTATACCATATAAGTCTAGGTGTGTAGTAGGCTGTACCACCTAGAATTGTATTAAGTACACACTGTGATGTTTGTACCACGATGAAATGACTTAACCAATCATCTTAAGCAACACATGACTTCATATCACTTTCTAAGTGTCAAGTTCTGTATTTCACTATCTTTGGCATTTCTTTGACCCGACATACTTAAAACCCAAGTTTTTTATTGTGATATAAATGTACCTTTAAAACATACCTCTAGTAGTATTTTATTTTTAAAAAACTTACTTCACAAAATCATGCTTTATTAGTTTCCTTTCTCTCAATTTTTGTGGCATATATCATTTTGAAATTGGGTAATATACAGAAAATGAATCAAAATAGTAACTTCAAAGCATACCATATAGATAGTGTCTGCTTTTTATGAATTGCCTATGAAGACAGAAACCCCAAAATGTTACCTGTGTTACTACTATTCAGTATCATCAAAGAGGGTTGTGTCATCATTCTACAGAAGACTGCATTTTTAGCTATTTTTTAGAGGGAGGATTATTCCAAAACGCGATTATTTCAGATTACTCTCCTTTCTCATTTGTTGTTATAGTTTAAGAAACAGGATTAATAGTTTTAATTCATAATAAAATAAAAATGCATTATACGTTGAATAAAATATTAAATACTTATAGAAGCAAATCAGTTAGTATAAGAATAATTTAGTATTAAAAATTTAGTAAATTAAATCATTTAATATAAAAAGGAATTAAAAAACATTATAGATGGTCACATGATTTAAATCAGCCACTTTTAGACATTGAATCACTTTTTAAAAATATTTTTTAATGAAGATGAAGAAGAAACAAGTCAAAATGGCTCAGAAAAACAAGATGGAGTGTATATAAGAATAGAATATGTTTTAATGCTTAGCACATTGAATACAAATTTCCTTTATACCGAAAACTTAAAAATGTTCACATGTTAATTTTCTTTTGGAGGTGGAGAAATAGTTTGTCCAAAACAAAACACTTTTCACAGTTGAAGTAACTTAGTTCTGTCCCAGTGAAGTCCCAATGGTTTTATTTCAGGCAGCTTATATTGTAGATTCATTGTCAAATATCTTATTTTTTAAGGTCTGTAGGTTGTGTTGAATAAAATTCTCCGTGCCTTGAACTTCAGAGAATCTGTAGTCACTTCTCCTAACGGACCAGTTTTTCATTTTTATTGAATTCTGAATTGTGTCCGATGTAAAGTAGTAAACTACAGGGTCAAAGCAACAGTTTGAAACAGCAATGCAAAGAGTGATTGGGTACATTGTCCTTACTGCTGTAACTACTGAGCAATTAACAAATGTTTGTGTTCTCATAAGAGAATATAAAATAAGATTGATATTATAAGGCACAAAACAGAAACAGAATATAACCAAATGTACACAAATCATTTTTAAAATCTTAGTTTTGTTTATTTTGCTTCTACTTAATGTAACAGGTTTATTTAAAGTTCTTAACACCATACTAGAACAAGATACATTTAAAATTAAAGGAATAAAAAATCCCACTGTTTCGATGAAAATTACAATTCTTGAGAGATACGTTTTCCACGTGGCATCTGGAAAATTTTCAAAGCAGGCTTCTGAGGTACTGTTATCCCGAGAGTGGGTAGACGGAAAAATAACTGCTGGTGCACTTCCACCGATCACAGTTAACCACACACCAATGCAAACTATTTTTGCATTTCTTTTGGTTCTTAGAGTCTTTGACTTAAATGGGTAGACGATTGCCAGAAATCGATCTACACTAATACAAGTTAAGAACAGAATGCTTCCATACATGTTGGTATAAAACAGCATCACAGAAATCTTACAAAGTGTATCTCCAAATGGCCAATTTCTTGTTGCAAAGTAAAAAATCCTGAAGGGTAAAGTAAAAACAAAAAGCAAGTCTGACATTGCCAAGTTAATCATGTATGTTGTAGTTTCATTTCGTACTTTGAGGGTGCACATGAAAATGTACATGGCAACACAATTGGATATTAACCCAAGCACAAACACCATGCTGAACATGCACCCATACAAAGTGTACTTAAAGGAGTCATTTTCGGTGCAGTTAGTGCTTACCATCATAAAGGCACGTCCAGATTTCAGTGGGGAAGTCCTTTTGTTGGCGCAGTTTCCTTTGGTATTCAGATTGTGACCACTAATCTCCAATTTATTTGCAAATTATTTGACTCTTTGGGTGATTTTACAATATTTCCTTTTTCTCAGAAATCTCCAAAAGAAACATGAAATTTGTTGATGTAAATTTTCCACTTGGTTCTTCAACAGAAAAACACTCTCATTTTCTGGTCTCCTGAAAATCCATGAGTCCAGGCTTAGTTAACTGACAAGTAATCTTTAAAAAATGCAGTCAGTGAAACCAACCCATAGGAGTTTAAATTTAAAGGAAAGCTGTGTTCCGTGCCGGGAATAAAACTACTCGTCTTGTAAACTTGTATTTCAGTAGTCAAGATGAATGTTTCAAAGATAAAGTTTTTTTGTGCTCCGGAATGTTTAAGCTTAATTTACCAGTCTTATTTTGCTTTTCAATGCAGAGTTTCAGAGTTTGAAACATTCCCAAGTTGTTCTCTCTGACTTCTTGCTTCTTTCAAGCGAAGTTTTCCCTTTTAGTTTTTCTGCAGTGGATCCCAGATGGTGGTAAACTTGTCTTCTAAAGGTCCCAAAGTAAATTCCTAAGCGTGTTCGCTCTTGCTGAATTTGAAGTCTTTTCCTCAGTTGCCGGCTGTATTGTGAGATGGGCTTTCTCTGAAGTGAAAAAGAAAGGCTTGCTAGATTTGTAATATGACATCACAGGAAGAAGAGGCTGGGTTTGAACAAAGAAAGGTTTCAGCCCAGTTTGTTTGCAGTTCCTTTAATCTGATAATGTGTTTGCTGGGAATATACCTAGGAGGCTTGCAAATGGTCACTGGCAGTTTAGTTAAGCTGGCTGCCCATTAACTCTTTTTATGCGGAAATGCCTTTGGGGTGCTGGCAACCTCTCAGAGTTTTTATGTTTTGTTTTGTTTTAGTAGTAATAATTGAAAGCAGAAAATGAAAAATCAGTATTAAGCATGTTTGTCTGTTATTCAAAGGCTTTTGTGTTCAGGGTGTGACTTTTTTTTTTAAGAAAGAGAGAAAATGTGTATGGGTGTGTATTTATAAGTTGAAACTTTTAGTGATATAGCATTTTAAAGAACTTTTAATGACTGTGAAAGAAAGACCTTTAACCTTTAGCTATAAAAAGGAATTGACTGAGAGACCAGTAGTAGTTCTGCCATTCTTGGCTTCTGTTTTTCCTAATTACCCCTCAAGATATAATTTAATTTAATTGGTATGATTGTGAGTAACTCTTCTCCTGGGTCTCTTTAGTTTCTGCGAAACAATTTTCTAACATTCTTTTCTCTTTCCTAGAAAATTGAGTTAATATTTTAGAGCTGTTTTCATTTTAAGTTATCCCTTTCACCAAAGAATAAATTCAAGAATGTTTATCTTTGGTGTGGTGTTAATCTTATTTTACCCATAAATTTAAGCACAAATGAAGTTGCATCTTTTTAAACAACAAAATTTTTTTTTATCCTAAGTTGATTGAAATAAGTTGGAGAATAAAAGTTCTACTACTTGGCTAAATTTTAGGTTCATAATTTTATTTTCAACCCCTCCCCTCCAGCTCTTCCTTTAATCCCCTTAACAGGACATTAACTGTATATTGGAATATATTTGAGATTTTTATCTTCATTTAAAATTTTCTGTGAGTGGTTTCTCTATATATTTATATTTAAAGTATACTCATATTTTCAAGGCCCCAAAATCAGAAGAAAAAAGTATGTATAAGGTGAGGGTAGGATATTACAACCTCGGAGACACGTGCTTTTCTTGTTTAAAATATTATTTTTCTCAGAAAAGGCTAGATCCAGTTGTAATTTACTGTTATTATTTTTAAATTTGGTTCAGTTTGGACTGAAACTCTCCTTTTGGATGTCAATTAAGGAATTTAAGAGCAATTTATTTTTCCCTCATAAATTACTTAGCTAATTTTAAAATAACATATTACAGTAACATGTTTTGTACTACTCTTTCTCACACTCAGCAACTTTCGTTGTTTGTTAATCACTTGTAATCTATTACTGTTTTTTTGACTGGAAAATTTATCTATAAACAACTGACAAAAAAAGATAAGTAGTACTTATAACTCAAAAACTTAAAACTTTGAAGGGCTAGATTTATTTGTATCATATTAGATATGGAAAAAAGTATGTGAATCTTCATATTAGAAAGTTGGTAGAAACTTTGAGCAGTAATGAACAAAGAAGTGGTTAATAAGCTTTGTATTCTCATTGTAGAAAAATAGTCATTTTAGAAAAACAAAATCTTAATAATCTGCTTTCTAACTGATAAGTCTCCTCTTTAGCCTTCTTTAAGTAATGCAAACAGTTGTATGGCCTGACCTTGTTGACTTTTACTTTCATTTTGAATACGGCATTTTCTCAAAGAATTAAAATATATTAATTCTGTATTGGAATACTCTTCCACATATTGTCAGTATTCACTTGACTTGTTATTCACTTAACTGTTCATCTGTAGTTTTTTCATGTTTGAATTACTGGTGTTTAAAAATTGATAGATCATTATTTGTTGAGTTAAGCCTTTCCTTATTATCAGTATGTTAGTAAATGTTTGTATTTCTAATTCTTAGCACAATTTTTTATCTTTAGTAGATTCTCATGTTTGTAGATGAGAGAATTATATCATTAAATAAATTTTTTGTTAATGAATTTAATTTTGTTGCAAGTTGTTTCTACTGAGGAAGAATAGCAGAGGGGCTGTTTCAACAGGAAGAAGATAATTGAATATTGGGTTTTTGAGATATTTAAATTGATTTATAATTAAGGAATCAGAGTACAATTTAGATAGTTTAAGAAATCCTTATGTTAGCATTTGAGAAATATAGAGTATCTGCTTACAAAGGGAGTTAATTGAATTCAGGGAATCAATTACACTTAATAGGTACTTTTGTATTTGATAGACTGAGGTGAACATTTATTTTAATGTGAGATTTGTATACTTCTGGATGTTAAGTCTGGGAATCAACTTACTACTTGTATGGATTTTCTGGAGAGAATGAAATTTTTAAAAATTGGAGCCAGATAGAAGTTAAAATGGTGAAGACAAATCTTTTTTTTTGGAGTTGGAGTCTTACTCTTTGTCTCCCAGGCTGGAGTGCAGTGGCACACTCACAGCCACCACAAACTCTGCCTGCTGGGCTTAGGCGATCCTTCCGCCTCAGTCTTCCAAGTAGCTGGAACTACAGACGCACACCACCACACCTGGCTAGTTTTTGTGATTTACTGTAGACATGAGCTATATAACCAGCTTGCCTATAAAGTAGGTTTGTTTTATTTGTCACTACAGTAATGGTATACATTGTTTAGTTGTGTAACTCATTTTTATCAGTTTGAGAGAGAGAGTTCTGTTAGTTAACTATCAGAAGTTTAAATTCTACTGTAACTATGGATTTGAAGAGATGGGGAGTCAGAATTATTCAAATAATGCTTGTGTCTGATTCAAAATAGGCTCATAATAATGTTTGTTGAATAACTAAACTTTTACTAAACACTGATTATAAATAAATAATGTGTAAGGTGAGTTCTTCAACCATTCCTCCTTTCTCTTCTTTTTTATACTGGTTATGCCTGGCATTGATAGTAATATCAATTTCATCTTGCCTCTTCTTCTTCATTATTACTGCCACCTTTTTTGATAAACCCAGTCACTTTTATTTTATTTTTTATTTATTTATTTTTTTTGAGTTGGAGTCTCTCACACTGTCACCCAGGCCGGAGTGCAGTGGCACGCTCACAGCCACCGAAGCCTCAACCTGCTGGGCTCAGGTGATCCTTCCACCCCAGCCTTCCAAATAGCTAGAACTATACCCGGCTAATTTTTTGATTTATTGTAGAGATGAGGTCTCACCAAGTTGCCCAGGCTGTCTCAAACCCATAGACTCAGGCACTCTTCTCATCGGCCTCCCAAAGTGCTGGGATTATAGGTGTGAGCCACTGCGCCTGGCCCCAGTCACTTTTATCTGTATGATTGTTATAATGACTTGTTTCCCTGTTTCTAGTCCTACCCTCTTCAAGTTTTCCCCTTCCAGACTGTCACAGATCAACTCATGAATGAATGAACTAATTATTTATTTATTTTCTTCTTGCTTCCAAAAAGAATTTAAAGCAAATTATAATTTTTAAAACAGATATACTGTCGGAATTGATGAAATGAAACACTTAAGATTTTAGCATTTTATTACATGTAAATTATACCTTAATAAAAAAAGTAAGAAGCAACTCAGTATAGAAGTGCTAAACTGTTTAAAATATGAGAAATGTAAGAGAAATGATACTAATCATTAGTCATATTCACTATTCTAAAAATTATTATCTTTAAATAATTTCAAATGATTGCAGTAAACATTTGCAAAAAGCAAAATAACCCTAAGGTACACATCCATTAATATATTAGTAAAAGAATAAAAGCCAAATGCTAGTGGAAAGAAAGAAGAGTGGGAAGAACAGCGTGTAAAGATAATGATGTTAGAAAAATCTAGGCTAAGATTTTTTTTTTTTGAGTTGGAGTCTCACTCTGTTGCCCAGACTGCAGTGCAGCGGCCGCTCCCTGCCACCCAGCCTCGACCTGCTGGGCTCGGGTGATCCTTCTGCCTCAGCCTTCTGAGTAACCGGAATTACAGGCACGCGCTATATAATCATGCCCGGCTGTAGGCTAAGATTTTAAAGAGTGAAAACCTGGTTCAATGCTGGAGTAAACTTGACAGTGTCAAAGGATCTTCACCTGGGGCCCTTGAAATCTCTGAAGCCCTTGTATATATTTTTCTTTCCTGGGGAGTCGTTGCGTAGCTTTTATGACCTCTCAACACTAAGAACAGATATGAAACACAGATCTGAAGAAATAAAGGATTAGCAAGTCCTACAGACTGTTTTCCTAAAATATCTGGAAATATTCCTTGGAAGTTTTTCTCTAAAAACAGACTAGAAGTAATCTAGACTATTAGTAGCTAGTGTAGATTTTCTGTGAATGAAGTAGAGAATTGAATATGTAGGCAATAAATTATAAATCTCTGTATCTTTTTTTTTTTAATAAGGAAGTGTGAAAATGTTGTGTAAATTTAGAGTACCAGGCAGAGAATCAGGGAAACTTGATAGGCAGTCACTTGACCTTTCTTGGATTCTAGTTCCTTGGTTGTAAAAAGAAAGGAGTAAGACTGCAGAAAGGTCACTTCCTGTTTGTATATCTGATTCTGATTCTTTGAATACTTTGAATGCTTCAGCTGCCAGGTTGGGTGTTTTCACTCCTAGGTATAAGGATCAAGGGGGTCACTTTTAATTTGTTGTATTTATGGATTTCTGATTTTGAAACCAGGTTGTACAAAAAAACATGTATAATAAGTACTCACTGCCTAAGCTAAGAGTCTCATAAATACAAGAAGAATCTTTAAATCTTTTGCTGTACTGTAAAGTTTAAATATTTTTAAAAGACTTTATTTTTCTGTAGCATTCTTTAAAAGACTGCTTTTTTCAAAGTAAGATGTCATGTTCTTTCACTACTGAATGCTATTGATAAAAGAAGAATTAATCAAAACCTTAAAGTACTCCCTCATTAAAAGTTTTGAATGTCATAATCGGATTATACCTTTAGTAACATTGAGAACAGGGATGTGCAAAAAATAGAATGAGAGAGTATGTAAAACTTAAGCAGAGGAAATAAATTGGCTCAAGTTTAAAAGAAAGTGTGAGCCAGACCCAATGATGTGTGCCTGCAGTCCCAGCTTCTCAGGAGGATGAATTGAGGCCACAGGAGTTTAAGGCTGCATGGCTCTGTAATTATGCCTGTGAATAACCACTGCACTCAAGCCTGGACAACATAACAAGACACTGCCTTCAAAAGAAGTAAAAAAAGTATGGAACAGTGATATCTTAAAACATAAGAAGAATTATTCTAAACTTTATTCTTTTGTATGCAGCAAATATTTGCCTTGTTGACTGTTTGCCATGTTTAATTTACACTTACGAAAAAGCAATTTTCTTATTTTGAATTTTTTTGATGCTTGTTATGATAAATTTTCTATTTGGGTTGAGAAATGAACAAACATTTTTCAATTTGAGAAATGAGC